GTCGTTGTTCGTTGTTGCTTCGAATTGTTTGTCGTTGTTGTTTGAAACGCCACGTGTCGTCGTTCGTGTTCGTGTATCATCGGCTTCGTGGTCAACGTTTGTTCTAAACGTTAGGTCGCGTTTCGTTGTTCACTGGAAACGCCATTTAGTTCAAACGTCGTTGTGGCCCGTCCTTGTTATTCTCCCACTCATCCTTCTCCTTCTCTGGAGGTCCTATTCTGGGATAGTTGCGTTCGGGTGCAGTTTTTGCTGTTACTAGTGCCCCATGAAAGGGCATCGCCCTCCCTCCATGTGCACAAGGCCAGCTTCCCCGCTCAGCGGGCACCTCGTCCAGTCAACATTCTCCTCCTCCCTCTCCTGCTCCTGCTCCTCCTCCTTCTCCTCCTCATCCTCCTCCTCCTCCTCCTCCTCCTCCTCCTCCTCCTCCTCCTCCCCCGTAGCCATTTTGGCTCAAGCCATTTTGGCTCAAGGGCAGCCCCGTCCTTCAGGCCTGGCTGCCTCGGCCAGCTTTTCAGCCATCCTCCCACGTGCCACTTCAGTGTACGCGGCCAGCCATGTCGCATCAGTTTACTCGTCAGCCATGGGTTAAAAAAGGCAGCAGCGCAAGGCCACAGCCAGCAAGTTCTGCGGCTACGGCAAGGTCTTCGGTTCAACGCCCTCAAAACAATTGCCAATGTTGCTGGCAGTACTCAGTAGAACTGGGTAGTATCATGCACAGCAACAGTAGGGTATAATCCCTTAACACCTTATGCGCTGCACTCTCATGCCTTCTTCTGGCAGGCACCCAGCAGGACTGGGTAGTTGCCTGCAGTAGTATATTGGGAAGTACCAGATGGCAGGGTTCGGCTACGGCGATGTTTTCATAAACCCTGGGAAGAATACCATAGGTCATTTGATGCACATCTTCTTAACACAATGTTTCGCTGCCTCTTGGTAGGTTGGCACGAACATCGTCCTTGACCCCCCCCCTAAGTATCCTTAGGGGGGGGTCCAGAATCACATTTTGGCTAGTTAGCCTTGCAACTCCCTCCCTTCCCAAGCCTCTACACATCCTCCTCCGCAACCACCCGTGTTAGACAGCCAGGCTAGCTTAGCGGCAAACATGTTTGTGTGGAGGCGAAATGGGTGTAAGTCTTTACCGCTAGCAGGCGCTAGGATGCGCAGTGGTTATGGCCTTCTCGATCCATCCCAGAGTCCTCAAGGGCAGGCACTAGAACGTGCATCTGCCAGAATTCGGGGTTTGCTGTCCATCTGAGGGAGTCGCAAGTTATGCTAGTTTTGCTAGCGTGCATTCTCGAATCAGGCACACCAGCCAACCAGTGCAACATTCAGCTCTCAGTGTCTTTTTTGCGACCGCCCGCAGGCGCTAGAACGCGCAGCGAATGGTCATCCCTTCCAATTCTCTCCAGGTCCCTCGCTCTGCAGGCACTAGAATGTGCACTTGCAAGTCAATGCAGGGGCCAGCATATCTCTGAGAGGGTTAAAGGGGAGGTGTGCGCGTAGATTTTGAATTCGTCCAGAGGGCAAGCGACTTCTTGCAGCCTAGATCCTTCCAGTTCCCCCTCCTCCTCCCTCAACAGCCGAAGCCGAGGTTGGCACCCAAGGGAGGATGCGCAGGCACTCTCCCTCCTCTGGCTTGTCCTGCCATGGCACTGCCCATGCAAGAAAGTCCGAACCTGCAGGTTGGCGTCCGGGGGTCGGTTAGGTTGGGAATGGGAGGACAATGGGGGACGGAACGGAATGCATCACATTCAGGGGCTCAGTCGAAGAATTGGAGTACTGCCCCTTCAGCCCTAGTATGGGTAGTTTCCTCCCCTCCTTCCTCTCCTCTTTATCCTCGTCCTCCTTCTCTCCCCTCTGGGGTAGGGTTGTAGCGCCTCGCGTCTTCGGCAACGCCTCTTGGCGGGCCAGTTGCTGCTTTCGCGTCAGGCCGCTGCCTCAGTGCACCCCCGAGGCGAATATCAAACTATCCTCCTCCTCCTCCTCCTGCTCCCCCTCCTCTTCCTGCTCCTCCTCCTCCTCCTCCTGCTCCTCCTCCTACTCCTCACCCTGCTCCTCCTCCTCCTCCTCCTCCTCCTCTTCCTCCCCCTCCTCCTCCTCCTCCTCCTCCTCCTCCTTCTCCTCCTCCTTCTCCTTCACCTCTTCGTTCTCCTCCTCGTCCTCCTCCGCCTCCTCGTCCTCCTCCTCCCCCTCCTCCTCCTCCCCCTCCTCCTCCTCCTCCTCCTCCTTCTCATCCTTCTCTCTCTCTCTCGCTATCTTTCTCTCTCGGCCATCGGCCACGGGGTGTTTCGCACGCCATCCCCCCCTCTCCCAGGGGCGGTCCTCCTCCTCCTCCTCCGCCACCTCCTCATCCGCCTCCTCCTTTTCCTCTTGGCTGGGCTGAGTAGACAGATGGTATTGCAGTTGCGACGACAGGCTGGGTTCATGATCGGTGGTGCTGCCAAGGGCCGCTGCCTCACGACGACGTTGGGGTGTGAACCGGCAGTCCAGGACCCAGCAGTGTATATCCCCATCCAAGTGATCAAGGAATGGAAAACTGTGTGGCAGAGGAACCCACACCTGCATGGACGAGTATGTGCAGCGTGGGGTGCTATACGTGACTGACTACGACGCGCTGGAGTGCGACGGTGGAGCTCTGTACGTGGACCGATTTCAGTATTGATAGCTACACTGATGGACATGGGTTGGGACCCAGTTACGGCAACACCATGGTTACGACCGACGGAGTGTGATGATGACCCTGTGGACCAGTGGGACATCCCAACGGCTGGTGACCCAGGCTTCACTCCCACAGGCAGCTTCCAGGCACTCTTCGAGGATGCGGAGGCTGACATTCGAGGATACCTGTGGAGGGCAGCCACTAAACATATTGCTGGTCAAGACTTGTCAGGTGGTGGTGACATGTATCAGATCGTGAGAGAGCAGAAACGTCTGGAACGTGCGAACGAGATGGAGCTGGTGGCTACCAACATCACCGTCGTGTCTGCTGGCCAGTGGTACAAGGAGCGTTTGGTGGAGGAGGGCTACCAGGTGGATCCGTTGTGCGCTCGCTGCGGAAAAAGCCCTGAGTCCCTCTTCCATCGCATTTGGAACTGTGACAGTTCATGAGGATTTTGAGCGCACGCAGTTTTTGGTTCCTCAAGCTTTTGCGCGACACGAATCCGAACCGAGTTTGTGGCTTCGGGGCCTCCCTCCCTCCCGCCTTACCCACCCTCGCTCCGATGAGGAGGCGATTCGAGGATTGGAGGAAAGGTTTGGAGGCCCTGAAGATTTTGCGAGCTGCCGCCAAGGAGAGGGGCTCCACATTTTTGGAGACGGCTCTGGTGGCAAGTTTTCTGACGATCTCCGTAGGAGAAGGTGCGGAGCGGCGATCACAGCGCTCCGACCGACAGATTACGGTTTCGAGTTAGGCGCTGCGTTGTGTCGACCGCTACCTGGGGACAAGCAGTCGGTTCCCAGGGCGGAAGTGTTTGCTTTCTCGATGGCGCTGTCGGAGATCCCAGGTCCGTTCATTTTTGTGACCGACCATTTGGCTATTTTCCGTTCGTGGAAGGACCGCCTGGAGGTCCCGCGTCCTGGAGGCCAAAATGAGGACCTGTGGACCGAGGCGCGAGTGTTTTGGGAAGCGAGGTCAGACAAAGATAAGTTGACTGTGGTCTGGACCCCATCCCATCTAGATGATAATCCAGAGCAGCTGGAGACGCCACTGGAGCTGTTCTACGCTTGTGGCAATATGACGACTGACCAATGGGCGGGAGGTCTTCGGAGCTGGCGGGGGAGAAGGGGCTTCTTGCTGATATGCCTGATACGGATCAGGTGGACGCGCTAGCGGCGTTGATCCGCCGCCGAGCGCGCAGAGCGTTGATTGAAACCTCTGCATCCGAGCCCCGCGCCAAATCTTCTCGCCCTGTGGCAGCGCCTAGAATGGCCAAGCGTGACAGAATCTTGACGGCGTCGGCCCACCAACTGAGGAAGTGTGAGTCGAAGTGGGTGTGTTTGCGGTGTAGCATGGTGGTGGCCGGCGCCACGTTTCAGAGTTTTGCAGAGAGCCCGTGTGATAGCGCATCCTCCTTGAGCGTGGAAGCCTGCCCACTGGCCCCCGCAGCGGTCAGACTTGCTGCTGCGGAGGTCCACGCCACCCACCGCATGAGTTGTTTTCCCCCGTTGGTTCCTTTCGGTTTGCTGTACCTGCGGCAGGTACCACACGAGCGACCCTCGGGGGTTGACGAGCCGATGTGAGGGTCCCTCGGCGAAAGGTAAAGAGAATTTGAATCGTTTGAGTCATGGGCGCTTTCCACGTAGAGAAGACACCCCCAAGCCGATTTTGGCTGCCATGGCGGAGAGGGAGCGTTTGTTCTTGTCGTCGAGTGTCGTCGTCGATGTGTCGTGCAGTGCTCCCTCCCAGCCGCAGGCCTCTCCCCCTCCCACCCCTTCCAGACGAGAGGGCCCAGGCGGCGATGCTGCTGCGGGGAGGACCCGCCATCGCGCGAGACCCCCGCAGCCCTCCTGAGGGAGAGGGTGGGGGGAGAGGGTTTCGGAGGGATCTGGCCTCCCTGTTTGAATGGCCTCAAGGGCCGAGGACAGCGGTCCGCACTCAGCTCATCCAGCTAATCCTCCTTTTCCTCTTTCTCCTCCTCTTTCTCCTCCTCTTTCTCCTGCTCTTTCTCTTCCCCCCTTTCCTCATCCTCCCCTCCTCCTCATCCTCCTCCTCGTCCTCGTCCTCCTCCTCCTCCTCGCCCTTTTCCTCTTTCTCCCCCATTCCTCCCCCTCCTCCTCCTCCTCCTCCTCCTCTCCTCCTCCTCCTCCTCCTCCTCCTCCACCTCCTCCTCCTTCTCCTCCTCCTCCTTTCCATCCTCCCGTCTCGTGCGCCCTTCTCCCCCCGGGCTTTCGACGGCAGGGGGGGGGTGCCCCCCCCCCACCCCCCCCCCTCCTTCTCCTCCTCCTCCCCGCTCCGCATTGGCTCCACCCGCCATGGGGGGGGGGGGGGGGAAGGGGGCGCGGCGCGCGCAGTCCCTTCCTGCCCCTCTGCGGTTGGGATCCCGCCACGGCGGCGGCTCCCCTCCACCCTCTTGGCCAGGCCGTTCGCCGAGATCTGCAGCGGGCAGGCCCTGGCGCCCCCCTTCGCCCGCAGGAGGATGTCGAGGGGAGGAGGTAGGGAGTGAGAGAGTGAGTGAGTGAGTGAGTGAGTGAGTGAGTGAGGGAGGGAGGAGGTAGGGAGGGAGTGGAGGGAGGTGAGGAGAGATGGGAGTAGGAGGAGGAGGAGGAGGAGGAGGAGGAAGAGAGGAGGAGGAGAAGAGGAGGAGGATGAGGAGGAGTAGGAGTAGGAGTAGTAGGAGTAGTTAGGTAGGTAGGAGTAGTAGTAGGAGTAGTAGTAGTATAGGAGTAGTAGTAGTAGTAGGTCGGAGTAGTAGTAGTAGTAGTAGTAGTAGTAGTAGTAGTAGTAGTAGTAGTAGTAGTAGTAGTAGTCGTAGTCGTAGTCGTAGTCGTAGTCGTAGTAGTAGTAGTAGTAGTAGTCGTAGTAGTAGTAGTAGTAGTAGTAGTAGTAGTAGTAGTAGGAGTAGGAGGAGGAGGAGGAGGAGGAGGAGGAGGAGGAGGAGGAGGAGGAGGAGGAAGAGAAGATGGAGGAGGCCGAGCGGGAGGCGGAGGTGGAGGAGGATGATTAGGGGAGGGGGAGGGAGATGACGACGTGAGGTGGAAGAGTGGAGGAGGAGCATGAGAGTTGGGAGAGGACCGAGAACTTGCAGGGGAGGAGGAGGGAGAGGAAGGAGGAGGAGGTGGAGGAGGAGGAGGGAGATGAGGAGGATAAACCAGGAAGAGGAGGAGGAGACGGAGGATGCGGATGAGGAGGAGGAATAGGTGGATGAGAATGGGGAGGAGGAGGACGAGGGTGCAGTGTAAGAGGGGAACAGAAGGAGGAGGGAGGAGGAGGAGGAGGAGCAGGAGGATGATGACCTGTGTACATCCAAGATGCATCAACGATGTTGTAATACACCCTTCCTCAAAGTTCCATCTTCATAGGCGCCTACAACGGTTCATATTTACTGAGGGAGTTGCCTCGTTGGAAGACAGCTGTTTGAAGGCCCGGAAGCATGCCAACACATAGTTCCCGGGATTCCAACGCCACGGATCAACCTGATTGTTGCGCCTCGGCGATCTAGTTGTTCCCTCCCTTCTTTGAAGACCAAGACAGCAGGTTCTCAGAGCCTGGCTTGACATCTTCAGGCAATTTTGGTGTGTACGAAGGAGTCCCTTAATACAACCAGACACAGTGTATCGTTGCATTCAAGAGGTACGCGTGGTGTGTTCGCACAGTCGGAAACAGAGGTGTCGTTCGTGACAGCGTCGGCCTGCCCCGTGTGATTGGTTGTGGCAGGTCCTGAAGAGGATAGCCAACCACACGCCGAAACGCTGGAGACGGACTGGACCAGGGGTGCCCGAAAGAGTGGGCATACTCAGTCCTAGACCAGAAAGGAGACCAAAGGAAGTTGCGCACTCAATTCCTTCTCGGCGACCCTGGCGCGGCATAGCCGTCGCCAGGCGAGCCTGAGGCGGGTGTACAAAGAACGCCTTGTATGTTGCATTCATATGGACATGCTTTGCAAATGATTGATTATCAGCCAAACGTCTCTCCAGGAGTGCCTCGCTCTCGTGCTGTTCACAAGGTGAGGCAGCTCGCTTGCAAGTCTGTGAAGCAGGCCCTGCCTCCCGCCACGACTTCTGGCATTGGAATCCACGGTGTGCTTGTAGGACATTGGCGGAACATATGGGAATGGTGATGAAGCGTGGCTTGTCCTCCCCAGGAACCTGCGCCTCCAGTTGGATCACTTCGTGCTTGCAAAGCAGTCCTTCCAGCGACCCGCTTGTGGAAGCGCGGGCTGCGCCGTTGTAGCAATGGGCGTTGTTGTATCGCGACCGTGCTGTGCCTGAGGGGGTCCTGCAGAGAGCCTGGCAGCGACAGGTACGCAAAATCCGTAAGTCCGACCGGCCGTGGGCCCAAGTTCCGGGCCCTGCTGGCGCCACTCTCCTTGCCCTTCGGGACCTCGGGCGGACCACCTACGCTGGTAATTTATGGCAGACGGGCGTCGGGGTCGTATTGGATGTCTCTCGGGACGCGCCTTCTACCATCCTTGCCTTGGCTCGTGAAGCTGCTGTTCGGAGGCTCTGGGAGCGGTGGGTCTGACGGCCCCAAGTTGTGGGGGACGACATGTTGCCCAAAGAGCCCCAGGGGTATTGGATTGAGCCTATCCTTAAGGTCCTCCCAACCGCTCCACTTCAGGAACCTGATGTGGATCCATCTGAAGATAGTGAGGATGATGGGCCTGATGACCCCGCTGCTGACGGATTTCCGCACGCAGACACAGTGGGCGATGGGTTCCTAGTGGCCAAGGGGCCAGTATGTTAGGTGTGTTCGTTGGAGGCGGCATGTGGTCGCCGTACAGGCTGTTTCAGTGTGGCTACTGCGTTTCGGCCGCCTGCCCTCTATGTGGACATATATTACGCGATAATCTTCACGGGGTGTGGCCATGTGATCACACGCCATGTGCAGGCCAGACGACGATTTTCAGGACATCGATCTTCGTGGTTGCCCGACGAATGTCATGGGAACCTGGCTATGGGACAGGGGGCTTGCTGGCCGAGCTCGTTACCCCCCGCTGCCTGCACAGGACAAATCTTGCAGATTGCACGCGACGTATGGTGACCCCTACGGTTTCTCTGGCCGTATCTTCACGGATGGTGCTTGCAGGCGTATCTGGTATTGGCCAGAAGACCAGAAAGTTCTCGTGCTGGACGGGGTTTCGCTCAGCTTTGGGGAAATCATGTTGCACCGTCGTTTACGGGGCCCTCCCTCCCTAGCCCGATACAAAAGGTCACCATGTGTTGAGATGTACGCCTTCCTACAAGGTTTGCAGGCGTGTGTTCTACCAGTTGAGATTATCACTGACTTTACAGGCCGCGTTGATGGGCTCCACAGAGGGCCCAAGTGGTGCCCAGCACCTTGGAGGAATAACCTTGATCTTTGGGAGGCCATCTGGGGCAAGTCGGACGACCTCGGAGGCCTCCATGACACTCTGAGGGTTGGGCCTGCCGAGAGCCACCGGAGGGGTCAGGGGGAGCTCGCTCGGGGAAACAGGTGGGGGGACTGTGCGGCCACGCGCGGGCGTGACCTTCACTGTGCGCCGCGCCCCAGTCGGCAGGCGCTGAAGATCGCCCACCGTGGCCCGGGGCTGCCTGTCCCCACTGGCCGGTGAAGGCCTCCGTGCTTTTCTGGCGGGGCGAGGGGCGCCCTTACGCGCGCGCTCGCGCGACGAGAGGCCGTCGCCCTCCCCGGCCAGAGCTCCCCGAGAGCGCCAGTGCAGGCACGCGCTCCGACACGTTTGCAAGCCCGTTGGAGGGCGGCAGATTAGGATGTGTACGTGTTGCAGGAGAGGAGCCAAGCTCCCGAAGGTTGTCGGTCGGCTCTCTCTTCTCGCCTGCCCTGCCCGCTCGCGGGCGATGGTCGCGAATGCCGCACTCGAAGCTGGCCAGCTCCGACACGTTTTCAAGCCCGTTGGAGGGCGGCAGATTAGAATGTGTACGTGTTGCAAGAGTCAAGCAGTGGCGAGGCGTCCCGGCTCGCCTGTGGCCCTACCAGACAGTGTTCTAAGAACCTGTTTGTGGTTCCCACGACATGTTCTTAGAACATTCCTGGTTGGGACTGTCTTGTTTTAACACACCGGGCAAATGTTCTAAGAACATTGTTTTTGTTCTCAGAACATGTTTGGGTTCTGAGAACATTTCGTGGTATGACTATAGGAATGCCGGGACGGTCGGTCCCTGCTCAGAAGAGAAGAACGAAGCTCCAGAAGGTTGTCGGTCGGCTCTCTCTTCTCGCCTGCCCCGCCCGCTCGCGGGCGATGGTCGCGGATGCCGCACTCGAAGCTGGCCAGCTCTTGGGGGCTGCCGGCGGCGGCCGTACTCCTGCGCCCTCGGAGTCGAGTTCTCGGGTGGAGCACGCTGGACCATCGCTGCAGCCTTCGCCCTCCTTCGCTCACGAGGGCGACGGCCAGGGTGACACGTTCCGCGCCCTCTGCCCTGGAGCTCGAGACGAAGGGGTCGAGGGGATGGAGGCTGGGCTGCTCGAGAGGGCCCACCCTCGCGACCCTGCCGTTGCTGCCGCCCAGCCCCGGCTCGCTGTCTCGGACTTGAGTCGATCGTCTCGCCAAGTTCGAGATGCTGTTATTGGTGATGCCTCTTCGGATGATGCCGCGGACGAGTGATCCGGTAGGAGGCGTGTGTCTTTCCATTCCATCGTCGTGTCCAGGACCCCCGATGGTGACCCGCTCGAGAAAGCTGCTATTGAGCTGCTTGTCCCTGAGCGCTTAGGCCCCGCTTTCGTGTCAGAATCCAAGAGACGACGGCTCGTCGCCAATCGTAGCAATCGCCCGACGCTCGCAACTGCTTCTGCTTCCGCCGTGAGCTTACCGCCACAAGGACAGGGGCTGGGTCTCCCATTGACAGGCACGTCGTGCTGTGCGCGAGGTGTGGGTTCTAAACTACTGGCCTCGCGGGCCATCTTTTGGTCGTCTGCAGTCCTGTGGAATTCGCGCGGAAATCGGCACGTGCGGTTCGGAATAGGTAACTCTTCTTCGGGGGTCAGCATCCTGCCGACGAAGGGCGGCCCAATAGGCGAGTCATTCCTTTCCCCAGGCCCATGCCGGCCTCCGATCCTGAAACGCATTGGCTCCGACTCGGGCATGCATGAACTGATTTTGACGTCGGGCCCACCAGCTCTATAGCCTTAGGCGGTGACCAATGTACGAGAGAGGCAAACCAGCGAGTGCGCCTCGCAGCCTTCACTTCTCAGTTGCACCGCCATACGTATATTTTGCGTCTATCGACGATAGCATACTGTTTCCCTCCCGCCTCGGGCCGAGATCCTTGAGTGGGCCTGAGGCGGCCGTTTGAAGCGACGGAGGCTCTCCCTGTGGTGGGCCTCCAGTTTAAGGGTGGTTGTCTGGCGCGCTGCGCGCAATTCCCCCACAGCGTCGTATCCTCCTTTCCTCTCCCTTCTTCCATTCTCCTCGTCATCGCCCCCTCTCCCCCTCAACCCTCCTCCTCCTCGCCCTCCCCTTCACCCTCGTCCTCCTCCCCCCCTCCTCCTCCTCACTCCTCCTCCTCCCCCTCTCCTTTCTAGTGCCACCTTCGCTTCCCCCCGCCCTTCTCCCCACCCCTCCCCCATGCCACGTGCCGCTCCGCGTGCCAGCCCATGGCGCCCCCCCCCACCCACCTCCGGCGCGCAGTCCGAGCTCGTCCTGTGCCGCGGCAAGTGGTTCAACGCGCACCTCGCCTGGCTCACCAAGGAGCGCGGCGCTCCCTATGCCGCCGCCGCCGCCGTCGTCGCCCGGTGGAGGGCGCGAAGGGGCGGGCGGGCCCCCCACCTAGTGCATCTCAGGGGGGGAGGGAGGGCTCCACGCTGTCGTCGCGGCACCCTAAGCCTTCTAGGTGGGGTCCGAGTAGATAGGGTCGGAGGATGGCGCCGCATCGCCGATGCATCGCCGATGCGGCTCGATGTGTAGCCCGATTTCTGTTACGCCGACGTCGCCGATACACCGCCGACGCCGCCAGTGCATGGCCGATGCATCGCCGATGCATCGCCGATGCATTGGCGATGCATCGCCGATGTATCGGCGATGCGGCGAGATCCTCTGACCCCATCTACTCGGACCCCATCTAGGAGGCCTCTAGGCACAGGACGCGCCGCCGCGGCCGTCGTCGTCTGGTGTGTGTGGGGGGTGGCGGGGGGCATCTCCAGTGCGTCGAAGTGGGCAGGAGAGGGAAGAGAGGGGGGGGCCAGTTGTGTGACTTCGGCGGCCTTCTCCTCCTTCCTCCACCGTCCGCCGTCTTCCTTCCTCCTCCCTCTCCCCTCGTCTGTTTTTCGCACTCCTCTATACTCCAGCGTTCCGATCATGATGACCGCCTGCTTCGACGATGCCATCGGCAAATTCGGTAGTAACCTCAATACGCAATGCGCAGGAGCCTCCTTAACAGCATTGCTGGGGGACTGCCATATCGTTAGCCTTCTTAATAATGCCGGCGTCAAACTTAATAATTCCGGATGCCGGCATCGTATGGGTGGATGGATACTGTTTCGTTTCTCTGGAGTTCATATCCCGCCCGTTATGGATGAGACGTTCTAGTTGTTCATTTTGTCGTTTGAGAACGATTCTGGCATAAGTTCGTGAAGGTGTGGGCGTATTTGTGTGTATGTGTGTAGGTGCGGAGATGGCGGGTGTGCGGAGAGCGGTCATCCTTCCTTGCATCAGGAAGCACAGGTCCCACCCAGTATGGGGAAGCATGCTTCCAGTCTGCAACGCCGCTGGAGGACAAAGGCTGCACATATCCGCGAATGTGTGGAGGTCGTGGGAAGCGTCAGGAGGGCGCCTCCGCCGAGGCCGTGGGAAGCGACAGGACAGCGGCGTGAAATCCCCGCTTGGCGGGCGCAGGAGAGGCGGCGAGACCGCACCTTTCCCCCGGAGCCGACACCTGGCCCCTGGAGTCTGTCGAGGCATCCGCCTGGGGTGGCGCCGGTCGTGAGTGGGCTTTCCCAGAGCTCCGACGTCGTGAGTTGTTCACATCGCAGGCCCAAGAGGGGGTCCAGGCGAAAAGGGGTGGTGCAATCGATTCGGGGCGATTGTATCGCAACTGTATTGCGCCCGAGAGTCGTGTTGCATCGTGCTGCAACTAGCGTGTGTTGCACACGAAAAATCCAGCAAGACGTCTGCGCCCCAGAGTGTACTGCACGCCCCGAAGCTGCCGCAGCCCCACGCGTCGACTGCAACAAAGCTCAGAGCCCCGAATCATCAGGGGTAACTCGGGTCAGGGCTAACTCGGGCTTTTTTTTTCGGGAATGCAAACCCGAGTTACCCCGGACCCGAGTTACCCCGGATAACTCGGGCGCCCAAAAAGCTATCGCACCACCCGCTTTTTCTCGCTGGGCCCGCGCTGTGAGCAGCCTGCTCGCGTCGCTGGCCCGGGCCCCTTGCCCCGAGGCCCGCTTGTCTTCTCGCTCCGAGCCGGTCGCTGGCGGCCCCCGGGCCCTGGCGGCCGGGCCTCTAAGTGCCTCTATAGGCTTAAGTCGGGCCTGTCCCCCTACAGGGGGATTTTCGACGACAAATAAAGAATACCCCCAAAATAATAGAAAAATGCTTCAAACATGGTCTGGGGACTATTTTTTGGGTATTTGTTGACCTTCTTGGGGTATATTCTTTATTTTTCGTCGACAATCCCCCTGTAGGAGGACACGCTCGACATAACTTTAAGCATCTAGGCCTCCTAGATGGGGTCGGAGTAGATGGGGTCTGAGGATGGCGCCGCATCGCCGATGCATCGCCGATGCGGCTCGGTGTGGGGCCTGTATTTTTCCACGCCGATGGCGCCGATGTATCGCCGACGTCGCCAGAGCATCGCCCGTGCTTCGCCGATGCATCGCCGATGTATCGGCGATGCGGAGCGATCCTCCG